CCTCACTTCCACGTCCGCTTCCCCTCACTACTGAAAAACAACAAATTCATGACTGAATAATTCCGACCGATTTAATTCAGTCTCTATTTTCGACTGATTCAGTCGGAAACTTTATTAAAAATACATGTGATTTTTTTAAATTTTTGGCTCAAAATTGCGACTGATTGAGTCGCTCAATTATGCGGAAAATACCGCGAAAATATTTTTTATGGTTTGCGACTGAATTAGCCGCAAAAATTAAATTTAAAAAAAAAATAAAAATGAGGTCTGACTGGTCAACGGGATTTGCAATCGAATCAGTCGCAATTTGAAAATTCAAATTTCAAATTTGCGACCGATTCAGTCGCAAATCTTTTTTTGTAATACAGCCCTAACCCATTTTTTTTTTTCTTTCTTCTCTAGCTTTTTTCCCTCTCCTCCCCTCTCATCTTTTGCCCCCACCCCCTCTGTTTCTTGATTTTCTCCTCGAATCTAACCATATAAGGTATGATTTTCCTCTCTCTCACTCCCTCACTCTCTCCCTCATCCCTCCCCCCCCCCCGTTGTTTAACTCGTTTTTGGTGCAGGAATCCGACGACTCATCTCCCCTCCGGTGGTAGTTCGGCGGCAGATCTGTTGGTCGTTTTCCAAGGTTTTTTTGCATTAATTTAGCAAAATAGTATGTACAAATTAGCTATATAATTTGCAATATAGTACAGATATGTTAGCAATAAATTTTGCAATATAATATGTATATAGTGACTTGTTAAAAATTTACTTGTTTAGATTAATTAGCTATTTTTTTCGTTTTAGTTAGATGTTCTTGTAAAAATGGCTAGTATACTTGTATGTACCCAATAGTAAATTAAGAAAAAATTTTAGAATAATTTGGGTATGTTCTATAAGTATAAAATTTTTGTTTATACAAAAAATAACTAAAGAAACAACTTAAGTACTAATACTTCGTATAATTTAGGTTATAATAGTTAGAGTTGAACAATATTTTAAAGAGTTAGAATTTTTATACATTCAAGTTATGTTAGTTAAGAAATAACTTAAGTGCTAATACTTCTCTGTTTCGGCTTTTCGTTTGAAAATTCTCTATGTCATATCTATGTATTAATTATATTATTTATTATTGGAACGAAATGAAGAAAATGCAATCAATTAAGTAGTAAAGCGCTATCATATGCTAATTTGAAATAAATTAGATTAATTTTTATGTTTTAGGACTTTTTTGTCTTACAATTGTTCAATATACATATTAATAATGAAACCATCCAAGTATTATAGTAAAATATATAATTAAACTATTTAGATAATCTTTGGGAGAATATAACATAGTAAGTAGTATAAATAAAATAAATATGTCAACTTCTAGTTTTTTTTTCCTGTGTAGATGGCATTTGCGCATCGTACATGGATGTATAATATGAATCATCCTAATCATGTGGGGTTAAGGGATGAATATATAGAAGGGGTTCCTGGATTTATTGCTAAGGCATAGACACTTGATGATTTTCGTATTGAATGAACGATTAGGTGTCCTTGTGTGAAATACAAGTGTGTTAAGTTATTGGGAGAAGATGTTGTTACATGTCATCTTTAAAAAGGGATTTATGAAAAATTATTATGTGTGGACTGCTCATGGAGAGAATCTTGATAGCGTAAATGATGTTGATTTTTATAATACTTTGGGTGGTGAGGAAGGTAGTCTCGTAATGGAGAATAATGTTGAAAATTCTTGATTCAATGACATGACTAGGGATGCCTTTGAGATGTTCCCAGAGGCTCAATCTGAACCAAATGATGAGGCTAATAAGTTCTTCAAAGAGTTAGAGGAAGCTAGTTGTCCGTTGTATGAAGGCTCAGTGCATTCCAAGTTGTCTGTTGTTGTTCGATTACTTTAGATTAAGTCAGATAGTTCTATTTCTCAATCGGGCATGAATTCTATCATTGGGCTTATGAATGAACTTAATCCGAGTAACATTGATCTATTCGAGTAAAATATTCTTATTTTTACAAGTATGCAAATTGAACATATATATAATTACTTCTTAATTTTCAGGAAAAGGAACGTGGGGGTGATGTGACTTATGCTGAGGTCTTTGCGGAGACCCACAACAACAACAACAACAAGAAGGACAGCACAAGAGAAGGATGGTCAAATCGCGTGCTTCAGATATATTTGTACGATCCCAACACCAATACTATATTATTTTTCACTCTTGGTTTATTTTATTTATATAACATATATTATTTTTATTTCAGAACAAGTATCATATTGATCTTGATGCATGGCGACAAACTCAGCCTGAAGGAACTCAGTCGTCCCCGGAGGATATGACTGCAAGTTTGGACATATGCGACTGGTGGTGTGAATAAAGGTATAAATATCATGCAATTATCTATTTTGATATTAGTTTGAAAGTTGCGTGTTTGTTTTCTTACTTCTTTTACTTTCTTTTCTTTATTTCTCGTGAAAATAATGAATAAAGGTCGAGTCTACGGGATTGGAGTACAACCATCCTCTAGTCGTCCACCAGCAACATTATTCACTGGGCATTGGTTTTCCAAGAAAACATGGAAGCTATGTGTCAAAAAGTGGATCAAATATCGCAAGAATTTAAAGCAACTCAGTCTTTGATCCAAAAATTGTTAAAAAAGTAAAGCAAGAAAAGAGCTGCAATGAAGTCTGAGGAGGAATCTGATTCTGAATAGGCTATTTGAATATTTTAGAGTTGAAGTTAGAGACATGTGTAATTAATATTGTTTGATAGTTGATTGTTTGATTAGTTGGTTGAATTGTTATAAATATTACTGTTCGTTTTGTAGTAAATATTGGATTTGGATTGTTATATTAGGTTTTTGTTTGGTTGTTAAGTGTTTGGTTAACTGTTTTATTTGGCAGGTGGTGTAATTAGAAATACAACAAAATTCTACTTAAAAATGCCCAGATTTGCGACTGAATCAGTCGCAAATTTCACCAGGAATTACCTAAATTTGCGACTGATTCAATCACAAATTGAAAATTTTAAATAAAATTTAATTAGGATTTGCGACTGAATCAGTTGCAAATGGAGAAATACCGATATTTTTAATTAATTAATAATCAATATTTACGACTATTTCAGTCGGAATAATTAATTAAAAATTAATTTTATTTTTAAATTTTCCGACAGAATCAATCGAAATATTTAATTTATATTCATTTTTTAATTCTGGTTAGCGACTGAATCGGTCGCTAAATTTACGATTGATTCGGTCGCAAGTGGCCTAATTTCAAATGTCCCCGTATTTTTCAGTTTGCGACTGAATCCGTCGCAAATTTTCGACTGATTCTGTCGCAAATATATTGCGACCACGTGTTTTCCGATTGACACTTTTCAATCGAAAATCCGTCGGAAAAACACGATTTCTGACCGATTTGATGGTCGCAAATTTGTTATTTTTTAGTAGTGTCTGTCACGCCGCTGAACTTACACTCCAAATATTCCATCTTAGTCCTACTCAACTTGAAACTTTTGGACTCCAGGGCCTGCCTCCATATCTCTAGTCTCTCATTAACGTCGCCTCGCGTCTCATCAATCAGAACTATATCATCAGCGAATAACATACACCATGACACATTACCTTAAATATAGTGTGTTAGGGCGTCCATCGCCAGGGCAAATAAGAACAGGCTGAACACAGATCCTTGGTGTAATCCCATAACCACAGAAACAAGCTCTGAGCCACCTCCCGGAGTCCTTGCCCGAGTCTTAGCTCCATTATACATATCCTTTATCGCTCTAATGTACGCTACCGACACACCTTTCACCTCCAGGTATCTTCAAAGAACGGCGCTAGAGACCTTGTCATATGTCTTATTTAGGTCAATAAACACCATGTGCAAATACCTCTTCCTATCCCAGTACTGTTTCACCAATTCCGTAATAAAGTGGATAGCTTCCGTAGTAGAACGACCCGGCATGAAACTTAAACTCTGAAGTCTTATCCAAATTAGATACGTGTATATTAATTTGGATATAAACTCACCGCTCAAAGAATGTGAATATATTTAAGAGACTCCTGCATTAATGAACTTCCCCATTATACACGAATCCTAAAATAACAGTTTCTTACTTTCATTTCTCAACAGTCAAAGTTCTCCGATAACGTAATCTAGACTTATCCAATAATTAATTACAATTACAAGGAAAACATCTAAGTAGTTAATATTATTAGCGCCTAAATAGAAATAGGTAATAAAAGAAAAATAAAAAAAACAAATAAAGTATTTAATATTCTTTCCTCAATAGAAGTAGTTTAGGGTAAACAGAGTACTGTAAAAAAGTAACGCGGAGATTCAGAAAATAGCGGCAGCAGTAGCTCAACAGAAAAGAACTGTTCCCCCCTCACTTTACGTAACCATTCTTTGCTTTACCTGGATATACTCCTATAACTTTTACCTTTGACAAATAATTTTTTTTTAAAAAAAATTTCGAATCTATTTATCTAAGTAAATATTAACACCAATATATTCAATTAACTTCACCTTATTATTAGTACTTAGTAGTAGTACTATTTGTTACATTGATACTACACAAATTAAAGTAAACTATTCTAGCTTTTTTTCCAATCATATAAAATCTAGTATGGTAGTTTTGTCCCACTTATACTGTATTTACATATTTACCATTAAAAATGTCAGACAATCTTTTACTTGACTCCTATTTGTCAAAGATTTATTTTTGGTAATTAAAATTTTTTATTTACCAACATGAAATTTTGAAACATGTAAATTCTATTTAATATTTCATCTTTTCTGATTGTATGGAGAAAGTACAAGATGAAAAGTTGTAAAATTTTAATTTTAAATAAAAGTCTAAGCACGCTGTCACTTTTCCCCCTTTTTCTATCATAAACAAAAGATTCTGTAAGTGCTTAATTTTGATTTTTATGTTTATAAACGACACGTAAAGATTAAAGGAAAAAAGAAAAAGCAAAGCAGAATATAAAAAGTGGCGCTGGAAGCTTTCAGAAAATTGGTTGAGTGAGAGAGAGAGAAAGAGAGGAGAGAGAAAAAGCCAAGCCATTAGCCATGTGTATATCTAAGTATATTTACACAGTAGTATGATATATATATGCATTTACAAAGATCATAGTGAAATCTTTCTTGTTCATTCCTCCATTATTATTAATTCACAGCTGAGCACATATTTTTCTTGAAATTTATGATGTTTTGCAATTAAAGCTTTGGTTTTTTTGTGGTTTCCTTTAATTCCTTGGATTCCAGAAAATCAGTGCAAAAGCTCAGTTACTTGCTGATTTTGCTTCCCTTGTATTAGGGTTCAGGTAACCTTAGTTTCTTTTTCTTCTTCTTTTGTGGGTTTTTGTTGATATGACTTATTATGTGTTTGTATGTTTCAAATGATTCTTGTAATTATTTGGTCTTAATCTTGATGTGGGTTGTGAGATCTGTGCTGAATTTACTATTTTTTAACATTTGGTTAAGTTTCGATGTGATCATCAATTTTCCGTGCTGTATGTAAGCAAGCTTGAGGATTTATAATCTCAAATTACTTCTCTTTTCGCAATTTTTGTACCTAAAATGATTTATGATGGATGCAAACTTGGCATTTCAGTGAATGTACTGATCAGTTTGAGAAATGTCCATGTAACCCAATGCGGTTTGGGTTTTGTGATGCAGCAAACCCGGGCTAGGTAGCAATTGAGGCTTAGTTGATTGATTGATTGACGATGTGGGCGTGGGAGGTGTAGTAGTGTTTGAACAATGCGCGTGTCGTTCATTATGGAATTTCAGTTCTGTGAAGTCAATTTAATTAATAGGGAGAGAATTCACAGGAAATGAATTTTCATTTTCTCATTTATCGGTTCTTGTCCTGTTCCAGTCATCAAATAATATTCTTCTTATCTTCCAGACATTAGTTAATGTGTCATTTTTCATTTCTTGTTGCTCTGTGCTAAGTTGAGATTTTGATTGCTTATCAAGGAAAGAGAAACTGAGATTTTGTATTGATTCATTCTTCTTGTTCCATATGAAGTAGTGCAACTTGAGCTTGGATGGGTTTTGCTGCGGAACAGCTTAGATTGCTTTGAACATTAAGGGCCACGCTTCCTTCATCAGTTTACTTCCTGCTTGTCACAAGGAAGGATGTCAGGTTTGGGCTTCCCATTTAATAAGTTATTGCCTGCAAGAACTGCTATGGATGATCTAGTTCGTATGTTTTCTTTATACTCACTTATGGATATTCTGGATGGTATCTTGTATCTAGAATGGTTGGATGCATATGATGACATAAGAGAAAGAAGATCAGACTTTGAGGTTTCAGAGGATGAAAGACGGCGTTCCAGAATTGGTGCTTTCAAGAAAAAGGCATTAAATGCTTCAAACAAGTTCACTCACTCTCTGAAGAAAAGAGGAAAAAGGAAAGTTGACTACAGGTTCCCTTCAGTTTCAATAGCAGATGTACGTGACGCAAAAGAGGAGAATGCTGTCTGTGAATTGCGTCAAAGGCTCCTTGAACGGAATTTGTTGCCACCCAGACATGATGACTACCATATGATGTTGAGGTGTGTTTCTGTTTCTGCTGAAAAATTGTTCGACTAAATTTTCATGTGTATGAACATCTATCTAACAATGGCAGTTTTCGTTCGAAATGCGGGCAAAGAAGCAGTATTATTGGGTGAAGCTGGATCTTATACATCTTTTAAGTTTCCATGCTAATTTTCTTCTGAGACTTTGCTTACAGTTGCTTAGCTGTTTTTTTTCCGCACCTGCATATTTTGTCCTTATATCTTGCAGCCAGATGTTTAACCTAATTTTGTTAACACTAATTCTGTGTAGATTTTTGAAGGCAAGAGATCTTAATGTTGAGAAGACTATTCCGATGTGGGAAGAAATGCTTAACTGGAGGAAAGAGTATGGCGCAGACACAATATTGCAGGTATTTGATACCTTTACCTCAGCGCTAATTTCAGTATTGTTCATACTGATTGATGGATTCTTATTGGAACTTGTGACCGTGCAGGATTTTTACTTTGAAGAGTTGGAAGAAGTATTGCAGTTTTACCCACAAGGATATCATGGAGTTGACAGGGAGGGAAGGCCTGTTTATATCGAAAGGCTCGGACAAGCTCATCCCAACAAACTTATGCGGATCACCACGATTAATCGCTACTTGAAATATCATGTTCAAGAATTTGAAAGGGCACTACATGAGAAGTTCCCTGCATGTTCTATTGCCGCAAAGAAAAGGATCTGCACAACAACTACAATTTTGGATGTGCAAGGCTTAGTACGTTTGTTCTATTGGTGATTAATTTACCAAATTGATGTTGTTTCTAACTTGTATGGCTTTCTATTTTACACTGTGTGAACCATTTTGAACACTTACAGATTTAATCACATTAACTAGACATCCATTTTTTCTGTTACAAGGGCATATTAAGCATGCATGAAAAATTCGAGTGGTAATACAAATAGCTAGCACTCCCATGGGTGGTTTACAAATTGGGTCTGGATCAATTACTTTCATCAATTTCCCCAACTTGATCGAAAGCAAAGAGTATCAGATTTCTTTTCTCCAAATTGCTTTTAATTGTGCCCTCATGCACCAGTAAAGATATTCAAGTATTTTCCCATCAATACAATTTTTTGTTCACCATTTCCATGTTAACCTAACATGCCTACTTAAGGAAATCTTCTCTCTATCACACCTCTTAAAAGTTTGTAGTTCATCTTTTTTATCATAAATACTAGTATTAGTTATTACTCAGTTTCAACATTTAATATGGTCTGCTGTCAATGCAGGGGATTAAAAACTTCACAAGGACTGCTGCTAGTCTTTTGGCGGCCATGGCAAAAATTGATAATAGCTATTATCCTGAGGTATCAGCTGTTAACTGTGAACACCTATAAATGAGATTGTCCAAGTATTTTATCCAGACTCTGTTGTCGTGGCCTGCCTTTAATAATATCCAACATCTTTTGTGTAGACACTGCATCGAATGTTCATTGTCAATGCTGGCCCTGGCTTCAAAAAGATGCTCTGGCCAGCAGCTCAGAAATTTTTGGATGCAAAGACTATTGCCAAGATACAGGTAGTAGAGGAAANTATTCCCTTTTACTTTTTGTATGTGATTTTCAGTCATGCTGTGAAATTTATGTTTTTCACCTCCCCTTTTATCTTTGGAGGGATCACTAATTAAGTCAATTAATTGGCTGTGGCTCTAATTTCTGAAATAGGGCTAATTCATTTGTATTTCAATTTTTCCAACAGCTAATCCTTTGAGCTAATTTCTCTTACAACCCTCAATGTTTCTTAATAACTGTAAATCTTCCCTTATAGAAATCGCGTGAAGTTCCTTTATTGGAAGAATTTGAGCTTACCATGGGTCCTTTGGCTTTTTCAACTTGTTTTTAAAAATAAGAAGAATAGAAGTAATTTGTATGCCTTGACAATTACATTATCTCTTCTTTTCCAACATATAAGGTGGAATTTCTTTTTAGTTTGTTGTAAACGTTTGGGACAGACCTCCAATTTGTGAACCAGACTTATTTTATCTGAATTTTGCTAACCAAGTCACTGAACTTATTCCAGGACACTTTTCAATTTTATTCATGTGAACTTTCCTTTTAAAATGTGATAATCTGCATTTTTAAGATTTTCGAATCAACTGGAAAAATATTGTAATGGTTGTAGGCATACACAAGTTTTTCTCTGGAGTATAACTAGTAGAAATCATAGCATTAATTAGAGAACAGTATTAGCCTCAGCTCTGTTCCAAAAAAAAAGAAGGAAATTATTGTGAATACTAGCAAGGGAGATAGTGGAATTCCGTAGTTGGGTCATGTTTGAAGTTATGATAAACTTGAGAGGAAGACAGGAAGTTATGCTGCCTCGCCTCACTTCTCCGCCCTCCAAGGAAAAGAAAACCCAAAGGGTAGAGAGGAAAGAGGGACTTTATGTGCGAATTTCAGAAGCGGGATTTGTCATGGCTCAAAACCTTTTCCTTTTGGATGTGAAAGGACTGTGAAATGGGAGACTTCTTGTTTTAAGTTTTACAAGCTAAGTTTGCCTGCTAAAAATCTTTCTTGGCCAGTAGATGTGCTCACCTATTTTCATTTTCAGCGACTTTATATCCACCTTATATCCTCCTGGTAGGTTTACCTTATTGAAGACTCCACAAAGCCTATATTTTATCCATCTTTTGCTGCTTGTTTTCATCATTTGTGCACATACTCTGCAATGACGTGTTTTGCTACATATATGTAAACTCTATGCATTCAAGTCAACTGAGTTTTGAGTTCTTCCAAGCTGAGACTCATGCTAAATTGGTAAATTCGTATATTGTGGGATTCATGTCCAGTATTCATGTGCTTTTTAGGTACCTGGGCAATTCGTTGGTGTGAAAGAATCCAAGAGAAGATTTTTAGCAGTTGTTTCCGTTGTTTGGAAAGGAAACTGATTCCTTTCATACTCAAACTCTGTGCATTTATTCGTTGTCTGCCCTTTGAGTACTGGAGGAAACAGACAAATGTTTTCCCGACTAATGCATTGGAAGAAAGGCAAGGGACCAGTTCGTCTGTTAATGATGAAGCAGTTCAAAAAGTAAGGGAGGCCCATCCATGCATGCAGCGTCTTAATAGATTGGAAAATTTATTGGAAGAAATAAACAAAAAGCCCGCTGAGATCCCAGCAGAGAAGGACCAAATGCTTCTGCAATCAATGGACAGGATCAAGTCTGTCGAGGTTGACCTAGATAAAACAAAAAGGGTAAGGTTCATCAGTGAGACTTGTAGAACTTTGAGCCTGGAGTGTCCTCTTATTATGTTTCACTGTCAACAGGTATTGCATGCTACAGTGTTGAAGCAACTTGAAATTGCAGAGTTATTGGAGAACCTAAAAGAGTCGAGATTTCATGTAAGCATCACTTAACATATTGAGCATCTCGTTTGTCATCATTATTTGGTCAGATAGACAGCCAATCAGTATATATATACTTGCTTAGGTGATGTATTATCCTGTCATGTGATAATGTTTGCATCTGTCTGCTATTTTGTTTTATTTTTCTTCCCATGTTTTGTGAAAGGGCCAGGGAGTGGGGGTGGGAGACTGTTGCCCTGTGATGCGATTGAAAATCTAAAATGAAGGCAATTCACACTGTCTGCTTCTTACTGTTAAGGTTGTTCATTTTCATGTTTTAATGTCCTTCCCGCGAAGGCCTGGGAAGTAGATGGGCAGTTAGACTTCCAAGAGTGTCTTCTGTTGGCGGCATTGCCATCATGGTGGAATGGGACAAGAGAAAAAAAGGCGGGTGAGAGGAGGGTGTAAAGGTCTGCTAAAAGGGCATTTTATGGAGTTCATCTGATAATCTCTATAAGACTCATTTTCAATGTCGTAACAAAACGTGTGAACTGTATCAAATATGACTATGGTATCCATATTTCTGCATTAAAAAAAGGGGGAGTCCGGTGCACAAGGCATCCCGCGTACATGCAAGGTCCGGGAAAGGGCCGCACCCCCAAGGGATGTGATGTTGACATACTACCCTAATACAAGCATTATTGACTTCTTCCGCGGTTCGAACCCGTGATCTATAGGTCACACGGAGGCAACTTGTTGCTCCGAGGCTTCCCTTCCATATTTCTGCATAATTAGCTTATTTTCCGTGCTCTTGTAACTAGTGCTGTCTTGCTTTCTTTCCGATAGTATAAGGTTTCAATTAGTGCTTCATGTACCAAGTCTGAGATCTGCCGGTGTTTTGTTGCAGAGGCGGAGTTTTTTGTGTTGAATATTGGAAGGTTGGAGATTCAGATATGCGATGAGAGTTTTTAACTGCTAACTACGCTACAAAAGGAGATGTCAGCTTATACGCCTCCAGTCGTAGTGACAAAGTTTTCCTGTTTTTTTTTCCTTGTACAATGTCCTTTACAGAACTTGCAGTCATGGTACAGCAAGATGTTAAATATACTGTATTAAAACGTCCTAAAGGAAAAGCTCAGAAGAAAGTATAGAGGTATATGTGTCATCTTAATTGTATTCCTCCTCCTCATTTAGTTGTTACTTTTACCTTATCAAGGGTCGATTCAACCGACCTGGACCGGTAAGATTATCACATGTTAAGTGATACAATATTAGACAATAAAGGTAGATACTTACCGTAAGATCCCATTTTATCAAAACGATAAAAGAATATGTTTAATTGTACTATGTAAAAATCATTTTAGTTTGTTGAATTTGGGACGAAAAGAATGGTTTTGCTGGTCACTCAAATTCTAACTTGTATCACGAAAAAAAATGTAAGAATTGGTCAAATGTTGTTGGATTTGGAGTTAGAGGAGACTTTCTAGAAAAAGACAGCCATAATATAGCGAAAGCTTCAAGTGGATGTCTGTTGGTTTTCGTTATCTTCTAGTTCAGTTCAACTTTCACAGCTCAGAGAAAATTAATCGGGTGCTAATTAGTCGAGGTAAGAGGCCAACACGTTGTTAGTCAATTGCTGACTTTGGGGCAATGAAGACGTGGCAAAGCAATGAAAAGTCAAATCACAATTTTCCTTTTCGATTGTGCACTTCTATAGTGTCAATACCTTTTACTTTATCGGTGTAATTAACGATTTTGTTTACTTTCCAGTAATAAGCTTACTCATTATATATAATTACTTACAATTATATTTTAAATAATATGATAATATGGAAATAAAAGGAAAAAAGAGAGGTGTCAAAAAGCTTATGATGGGGTTAGCATTAGATTAGTGAAAATTAAACTTGTACGCATTAACTAAGATTGCATATGAGAACTCCTTTTAATCACATACTCCTTAAAATGCATGTAATCCAACAATCCCGTATTATAGTAAAAAACAGGATTCAAGTAAATCTCACGGAAATACCATCTTAAACATAAAACAAATGTATATTCCATCTTTATATTATCATTGTACGGGTCAAAATCTACCTCACTAGGATTTAGCTTGAAGCGGTATCGTAAAAAGCAATATGGCCGAGGTCGATTAGTAGATAACGGGGTTGTTAGCCGAGTAGTCAATAACGGCCGAGGTCGAGTATCAAGGGCAGCACTAACAGCTAGTTTTTATAATAAAATATTCAGGAGAATATTCAATTGTCTGTACTTTTAGGGTTGACCGGGGAATGCCCCGTATAAATAGAAAAAGAGATAGGGGGAGAGGTATGTAATATTCTCTGAGAAAAACATTCTTTGAAAAGCAGACTTTCTCTCTAGATAAAAGACAATCACTACCTTTCTAAAGAGATTCGATTGTCTATTATTCCATACTTTTTCCGTTAGATCCGAGAAGGATCCCAACATTCTAGTATTTATCTATTATTCATCATTGTCAGGAGGAGGAATCATCCAGCTCATTCAATATTGGGTGAATCATTCTCCTTATTTACTTTAATGCCATTTATCGATTATTTATTGCTTGATATTCCCCATCATTAATGACCTATGTACATTGAATGTACATCACATTTAATCTTCTCTCAACATTGTTCTTGCGCAATTTATGTTAATCGATTATAGATCTGAAGTTATTATCATTAACTAGGTTTAGCACTTCGTCATACTAAATTAATTAGTTTAATCAAAAGTCTATATTTTTTGGTCAAATAATTTGGCACCGCTTGTGGGGATTATCTAGTTAAGTTTTTAGTTTCTTCTAGATCTACAACCGGCACAGTCCATAAAAAAAAGAGCTCCTACTTCCTTGTACACACGGATCTGACATGGCAGGTAATGGAGAAAAAAGAATGAAGGTAGTGGCCGATGTCACTACCAACCTCTTAAACACCATCAACGAGGTCTCCGAAAAAGAAGGCGAAGACATAACACCTAACACCTCTCCCCGGCGAAGTGGGTCGCCCCTCCCCCACAGCAGTATCACAACATCCCGTGGTAAAGAAGCTTCCACATTCACAGCGGAAGCGGTGCCACCAGCGGTGAAGAAGCTACTCGAGGCTTGGCTGACAAATACGCTGACCGGCATCCTCGACAAGCCCACTCAGGAGGCAGTCAGAGAAAATACAAGACTTGCATTGCACCAACAACGACCATGCAGCACGGCCCTCCCCCTCCAGTAACAGGTATCACTCATAATATTAATAATGCAGGTAACGACACCCTCATAGCCATTCTGAGAAAAATAGAAGAAATGGAAAATGAAAACAAAATGCTTCGGGATCAAATGAGAGAACACCAAGAAAGAGTCGACATAATACCGGGTGCCCCAAAACTCTTGCCAAAAAAAGACGTTGGTCAGTTCTTTGAGCAACCCTATAGTGATGAAGCCACCCCATATGCCATACCCAACCGGATGAGCATTAACTTGGTATTCACAACTGCCCGTGCGCTCCATTGAAACGTTCGAAGAGATGGTCGACAAGTTCGTAACGGCCTGTGCTGGGGCTAAGAAGGCGGAGGCAAGAGTGAACGATATATTTACCATCAAACAATCACCCGGAGAGGGATTGAGGGAATTCATCACTCGATTCAATAGAGTAAGGAAGACCTTACCGAATGTATCAGAAGGTATGGTTGTAGCAGCTTTCCAGAATGGGCTGAATAGAAATGGCTCAAGGGCGACCAAAAAATTATTAAGTAGGCTTATGAAATATCCTCCAACCACTTGGGATGAAATACACAACGCCTACTGTGCCGAGATCCGTACCGACGAAGACGACCTGAGTGGGCCAACCCATCGATTGACCTCGGTACAAGCCGAAACTAGGAAAGATCAAAGAAATGATGCCAGGAGAGATTTCGCAGCTCCACGATCCAACCGAGAAAGGCATCAGCCATATGTTAAAAGCGCCATCATGCCCCCCTCCCGCCACGAAAAGGGCCCATCTAGACCAAGGACATGGACTCACCGGAATGAGAGAGGTATGCCCCATTTACTATTCGCTCACAATTTTTATGTGACACCCTCAGAAATAGTCTACGCATTAGAGAAGCTCAGACCAAAAATAAAGTGGCCACAAAAGATGAGGTCAGACCCAAGCACTAGAAAATCAAACGCCCTCTGCGAGTTCCACCAAGAGCGAGGTCACAAAACCGAGGACTGCATCACCCTAAGGCAGGAGGTCATGAACATGCTTCATCAAGGACACCTCAAAGAATTATTGAGGGACTGAGGGAGGACTAACTTTGCCCGAGGACATGAACAACACCAGGGACAACCGAAACCACCCTCACCGACTCGCACCATTCAAATGATCATCAAGGGCAGCGACGACGTTTCAATCAACATCGTAAAGTTCAACACAACCCACAAGCTCAAACGGTCAATCACTCATGAACGGTACGACGAACTCAAAGAAAGTATCATCTTCGATAAGTCAGATACCCACGGGTTGGTTTTCCCTCACTATGATGCCTTTGTTATTACATTACGAATATTAGATACAGATGTAAGACGCATTATGGTGGACGATAGGAGCAACGCGTGCATTGTCCATCCTCGAGTACTTGCACAAATGAAACTCGAGGATAAGATAGTGCCGCGCTCTATCACATTAACAGGTTTTAACAATGTAGTTGAACGAACGTCCGGGGAAATCACACTCCCCGTCCTGGCCGGCGGCGTCGCTCTGGAAACCACATTCCACATCATGGACCAGGATACGGCGTACAATGCCGTAATAGGTCGACCTTGGATACATGCCATGAGGGCTATCCCCTCCAGCTTGTACCAAATTATCAAATTTCCAACCCCATGGGGAGTATTCAGCATACGAGGAGAACAATACACATCTCAAGAATGTTGTCGCATCGCCTTGGATTGTACATATACCCAATAAATGAAGGGAAAAGAATAAGATGCATAGCAATTAACAGGGTCGAGGTCGAGCTGGGATGAAAAAGCGAACGTCGTCAGAGATCCCGAAATAATAGACGCCACGGGATCACCCGTAGAAGACCTCGACCCCATCCAATTTGATGATAACAACCACAACAAGAAAGCCTACGTCGGCCGCAAGCTCCAAGAACCAGGTAAATTTCGTCAATTCTTAACTGCCAATGCAGATTTGTTTGCTTTTTCCCATGCAGACATGCCAGGTATCCCGAAGGAGGTCGCCACACATAAGTTGAACGTCGACCCATTCTACCCCCCAATAAGGCAGTTTAGGCGAAAGTTCAATTCGGCAATAAATGATAAAGTCCGCGAGGAGGTCAAAAAATTGTTAGAAAACGGCTCCATCAGGGAATCAAAATACCCCCAATGGGTTGCCAATGTGGTCAAGGTGAAAAAGAAGAATGGAAAGTGGAGGATGTGCGTATACTTTACGGATTTAAACAAAACATGCCCCAAAGATTCATTCCCGCTACCTCACATTGACCAGCTCATTGACGCAACGGTCGAGCATGAACTGCTGAGCTTCTTGGATGCCTACTCGGGCTACAATCAGATCCTCATGGAAGAGGAGGACCAGGAGAAGACCACCTTCATCACCAACTAAGGAACGTACTACTACAGGGTGATGCCCTTCGGACTGAAAAACGCGGGGCGACATATCAAAGGTTGGTAACCAAAATGTTCAAAGACCAACTCGGCAAGACCATGGATGTCTAAATAGATGATATTTTGGTCAAGTCCAAAAGGAAAGAAGATCACATCAACCACCTGAAAGAAGCCTTCGATCTACTCAGGCGGTACAGAATGAAGCTGAATCCCGAAAAGTGTGCATTCGGCATGACCTCAGGAAAATTCTTGGACTTCCTAGTATCGCAAAGGGGCATTGAGGTCAACCCCGACCAAATCAAAGCCATAGAAGGAATACCAGAGCACCTAACCAGCAAAAAACAGGTTTAGAGGCTGACCGACCGCATCGCCACCCGGTCGAGATTCATCTCACGATCATCCGAAAAATACCATAAGTTTTTCGGCATACTCAGGAAAAATAACGACCTCCAATGGACTTCCGAGTGCATTCAAGCCCTGAAGGAATTAAAGGCTTATCTGTCGTCACCATCGTTGCTTTCCAAAGCAGAACCGGGGGAACGCCTTCTCGCCTACCTCACCGTATCTGAAGTATAGGTGAGTGCAGTCCTG